CTAAAACCATTTTCATTGGCCCACTTTTGGATTTTGTTAAGGCAGAGTTGTAGCTGCCTTTCTATTGCGTGCATGTTCTTACCACGACATGAAATATTGAAGTCATCCACGAAAAGGGACCCATCAACGCAACTGTTCAGAACGTTAGTGAGGCTGTTAATTTTGATGCTAAAAAGTGTGACAGACAGGATGCTGCCTTGGGGGACGCCCTGATCTTGGTGGAAGTAGTCAGACAGTGTGGAACCCACCCGAACTTGGAATTGTCTGTTATTTAGAAACCGAGATATGAATTGAGGTAGTCTACCCCTCAATCCAAACTCGTGTAAATCTTTTAGGATACCATGTTTCCATGTTGTATCATATGCTTTTCTAAGTCGAAAAGATAGATACTGCATGTTGTTTGTTGACAATGGAGTTTTTGATGAATGCTTCCAGACGCACCAGATGGTCAATGGTACTTCGGTTTTTTCGGAAACCACATTGGAGGTCACTGAGGAGGTTATTGGTCTCCAAGTACCAGATTAATCGATTGTTGACCATGCGCTCCATGGTTTTGCAAACACAGCTAGTTAGTGATATAGGACAGTAGTTTGAGGGATCAGTATGGTCGCGACCAGGCCCCGATTTCTCGAAACAAACTTAAGTTTTACACAAATTTCAAACTGAGTTTGACAATTTGAAACAGCTGAATTTGTAACTCAACTGCATTTTTATAATAAAAAAGCCCAAACAACTTAAGTAATCTATCCACCAAACTCAAATTTGATATCGATCTCAGTCCGTTCTGGGAAATGCATTTTCTGCGTTTTCTCAAATTTGAGTAAAAACTCTAGCTTAAGTAAAACTCAGACTTAAGTTTGTTTCGAGAAATCGGGGCCTGGTTTTGGTATAGGGATGATGATGGCATTTTGCCACGAAGGGGTGTCGGATGTCCAGATGTCATCAAATATATTTAGGAGTGTTTCCAAGCCTATGTCAGGGAGGTGTTTCAGAAGCTGATAATGGATTTCATCAGCTCCTGCCGCAGTGTCGTGAGCCTGTCCTAGGGCAGTACGTAATTCATGGAGGGAAAACGTTTCGTTGTAATCCTCCCCATTATCAGAGTTAAAATTGACTGGTTTCTTTTCTTGTTGGGTTTGATATTTCTGGAACTGAGGGTTATAATTTGAGAAGGAGGAGTGGTTTGCCAAAGTTTCGCCAAGTTTGTTTGCAATTTCAGATTTATTTGTTAGAAGGAGTCGCCATCTTTCAGGTGGTGAACTCCTGATTTTGACCCTTGCCCTTGATCCTTTGAATCATGTTCCACACCTTGGACATGGGTGTGCGGGAGTTGATTTTGGACACATATTTCCTCCATGAGCGGCGTTTAGTTTGTTTGAAGGTACGTTTTGCTCTGGCATTTGTCATTTTAACAGCATTCAGGTTATGCACTGTCGGATGTTGTCGGAAATATTTTTCCGCCTTCTTCCTATTTTTCCTAGCTTGTTTGCAGTTTGTATCAAACCATGGTTTACGTATGTGCGGGTTTGCAGAGGACTTAGGAATAGTTTTGTCTCCGATGGCATTTAGGACGTCTGAAAATAGTTCCATGGGGTCAGGAACATTCCTGAAGTTGTCCGGCTTACGTTTTTCAGAACATAGGGTTTGGAATAAAGGCCAATTGGCCTTAATAAAATTCCATCTTGTTGATGGTGGTTCATCCGTGGGGTTGATAGGAGTAAGAATTGTTGGGAAGTGGTCGCTTCCGCAAAGGTCGTCATGGACCGACCATTCGAACTCATTTAAAAGATTAGAATCTGTAAGTGATAGATCGAGAGCAGAGTATGATCCAGTGGCAGGATGGAGGTAGGTGTTTGATCCATCGTTGAAGATGCATACATCATTATTGGAGAAACTCTTCAAGGATCTTTCCCCTTACTATTTGTATCATTACTCCCCATAGGGGAGTTATGGCTGTTGAAGTCGCCCATGATTATGCAGGGCTTTGGGAGTTGATCGTATAAGTTCTGAAGATCTGATAGGCGGACAGTTGAGGTGGGAGGGAGATAGAGGGAACATAGTGTAAACCCTATGTTCAGAGTTATGCGGACAGCAACGGTTTGTAGGTTGGTGTTAAGTGGGACAGGGCTATGGAGGGTGCCCTGCCTCACCAGGATAGAAGTGCCTCCTGTAGCTTTTTTACACCGGGAGGAGAAAAGGAGTGGTAGGAACTGTACCGACGGATGTCAAATTTATCGGTCCTTTTTAGGTAGGTTTCTTGGAGACAAAACGCAGATGGTTTGAAGTCTTGAATCAATAGCTGTAATTCATTATAATTATTCTTAAGTCCTCTGCAATTCCATTGGATAATGTTTTGTGGATTCATGGTGCTTCCACTGGTGACATGTCACGTGAATGTGAGAAAGCGTTTGATGAACTCCTATTGGTGTCTGGTGGAGATGGAGTTACCTCCATATCCAGAGGGCCAAAGGAGTTATGGACCTCGATGGGGACCTCTGAGGGAGAGGTGGCCTTTGGTTTTGTGTTTGGCGGTTGTTCGAGTTGCTTTAGTCTCTCTAGCCTCTTTTTTTCCCTTTTTCTGCGCGCAGTTTCTGTCTCTGGTTTTGGCATTTGTTCTGGTGTTTGTGATTCAGAAGTTTTGACTTTGGCGTTGGAGATGGAGTGGCTGAGATAGGCTGAGTTGTGTTGAGTTCAGCTGGCTGGGAAGACGTGACCCATGTCAGGTCGGTCTGACATGAGATGGTTGCAGTAGTGATGGTAGGACGGGAGACAGCAGCAGAGTAGGTGATGGTTGAAGGGGCTGCAGTTAGACTTGCAACCCTCTTCTTTGCTTCGTGAAAGGAGATATTTTCTTTGTGTTTTATCTTCAGTATCTCGGATTCGCGTTTCCATACTGGGCAGAACTTGGAAGAGGCCATATGGTTACCACCGCAGTTTGTGCACTTCACTTCCTTAGTACAGTCGTTGCCCTCATGCTTGTCACCACAGCGGTAACAAACAGCAGAGGAACGACAGGACTTGGATCCATGTCCAAACTTTTGGCAGTTGTAGCACCGGAGTGGATTGGGGACATACACCTCCACACCAATGCTACAATAACCAGCTCTAATCGAGTCAGGAATGTTTGCTCGCGCGAACGTGAAGAGATAGGTGTTTGTTGGTTGAACAACACCATCCTTTTTGAAGGTAAATCGTTTGACGGCTGTGACGGATTGCTGAGAGAGTTCCTTGACAATTTGTTCTTCAGTCATGTCAGACAGGCATCGAGCTCTGTCCCGTACAATGCCTCTACACGAATTAAGGGTTTTGTGTGCTGAGACAGCGACCTTGATATTTACAAATTCTTGTATTTTGAGAAGATTTACAGATTGGTGTTTCCGGGTACATTCTATAAGGAGAGAGCCAGATCGGAGCTTTGTGACATTGGCAACCTCTCCGCAGATACCAGCGATACCTTTGGAGATTGCAAAGGGTTCAATTGCAAAGGTTGCTTGTCACAAGCCTCAATAATCAGGAAGCGTGGCCAGTAGTCAGGTCGGGGGGGCGTACTCTCGTCAGACGAGGAATTGTCGGTATCCATATGTCTTCGTTTTGAACCGGGGTATTGGGAAGCCATGTTGTGGGTAATGTGGTTCGGCATCCCCTCTCCCCACCCACCGTGGAGTGTCAACAAGGACGATCTTATATTGCAGCGGGTCTCCGAGCTGCAAAGACCAGGGATAAGGGGATGTTATACTCCAGCGAATTTGACATGAAATGCTGTAGCTGCCTACCAGATTAAAGGTCAGGATGGTTCTGTCCATGACAATCAATTGGAGACGTACAGAAATCGGAGGTCAGCATCACCAGATTGGCCCATGAGCCACCGCCTTCTGTGCATGGGTCTGCGAGGCTAATTTGTTTCGTAGAATAGTGTTAACATTTTGAACATGGTCAAAAGTGTTATGTAATACCACGTTTTGTATAGACATTCCATGCACAGGGCAGCAGTGTGACCAGCCGATTGGTAGAATCGGGCCTATTCTACCACCCGTCTAGGCAAAGTTAGGGTCGAAGTGGTGTGTTGGATTAGTGAACACTATTGCCGGTTCCGTCATCCTCAACCACCAGACTCCCTTCCTCTGCCGACACAGGGATGCAACCCACGGCAAACGGGTTGCCCAATTTGGTCGCCTCTTACGACCAGCAATGGGGTGCTGTGGACCTATTCGACCCCGGGTCCACACAGGGGCGAAGAGCCATTGGCGTTACCCAGCACCCACCACGAGGAGGTTGCTCTTCAAGGGGTGCCTCATCATGACGGTTAAATAGAGTACCAATATACTTCAACACAGGAATGGACTTGAGAGATGTCATCCGAATCTTTCTATTCTCATTCCTTCACATTTCGAAAACTCAATTTTACTCATTCGGCTTCCATTTCTTATTTTGATGTCTTAAATTACAGCAGGCCGAAACAAAGAAGTGTTATGAATTAACAATTACAGCCTAAAATTAGCCACTTTAAAAGTCAATACAAATAACGCTAAGGTATCAAAATGTTGGATAGAAAAGTACACCCTGATCGAAAACGACAGATGTCATTTCACATACCTGTCCGGTATTCCCTGGAGATAAAAAGGTCACTATCCGCTCACTCAACTCAACAGCAGCTGACACTTTTTGTTGGTCACTTACCAAAACATATAGAGACAATCCATTCATTATGGAGAATCGCATAAACTGACAAGCTCTAAAATGTCTCAAATCATTCAGTTCAGTGGAAGCATCAGTTCATCAGTATAATATATGCAGTCAAGCAAATAAAGAAGAAACACTACAACATGACATTGTTCAAGTTTCTCTCGACATTTCTTAGCTATCAACAACTATAAATAGATAAAAACAACACTGGCATCACTGGTCAAGGACACGTTGATAAAAATATGTTCCATATAGATATGCTCAATTGTATAAATATTTCACCAGTGTAATTAGATTTGTCAATCGTGCACTGCATCATGAGGGTGAAGACAGCCGTGTTACAGCTGATACTGATAGCATTAGTGGGTGCAAAGAAAAATGTTTTGTTTCTGGTGTCAGATGATATGAGACCAAACCTCAATGCCTATCTGGGTCCAGACATGCCGTCTCCTGTCCATCCCAAGATGCATACACCTACTCTCGATGCCTTAGCCAGCAGATCCCTTGTTCTGAAGAGAGCCTACGTGTCTCAGGCTTTATGCAGCCCCAGTAGAACTGCCCTTGTTACCAGCAGGCGGCCTGACACTAGTCACATATGGGACATTGGACCTTACTTCCGACAAGTTGGCGGCAATTTTACTACACTGCCAGAATACTTCAAGCGTAATGGCTACCGAACTATTGGAATGGGGAAGATCTTTCATCCTGGCAGTTCCTCAGGAGGAGATGATCCCGTATCGTGGACGGATCCATACTTTCACGCAGAAGACGTTTACAGGGCACATGATCACCTTTTATGTGATGCAATATCAGAGGAAAGAGAGAAGGCCCAACCACTTCAGGATCAGATGATTGCTGACTATGCAATAAAAACACTTCAGGAAGTTGCACCTCGAGCAAAGTAAGGTGAGCAACCTTTCTTTGTGGCAGTAGGATTCCACAAACCTCATATTACCTGGGTTTATCCTGCTCGTTTCAATACTTTCTATCCCTTGGAGAGTCTTCGCCCACCACCAAACTATTATGCTCCAGTTGGAATGCCAGCGGTTGCCTGGCATAACTTTACGTATTTTGGCGACTTTAATGATGTTAAGGCATTTCACTTAAAGGATATTGGCTATATAAACTTCACATTTCCACCAACACTGACCCTTCAACTGAGACAGGCCTACTACAGCTGCATCAGCTATATTGACTACGAGCTGGGGAGAGTTATTCAAGAGCTTGACAACTTAGGACTTTCTAACAATACCATCATATCCTTCTGGGGTGATCATGGGTGGCAGTTGGGAGAACATTCAGAATGGGAAAAGCACAACAACTTTGAAGACGCCACCCATGCTCCCATGATGATACACATTCCTGGAGTCACTGACAAAGGTGTGGTGACAGAGCACCTGACGGAATTTGTCGATTTGTACCCGACTCTAGTTGAAGCTGCAGAACTTCCTAAACTTGAAACGTGTCCACCGAACTCTCAAAACATCAGTCTGTGCACAGAAGGTACTAGTATGGTCCCACTCATGACAAATCCAACAATGCCAAACTGGAAAACTGCTGCTTTCTCCCAGTACCCTCGAGGAGGAGATGGTCTCCATGGTGATGTCATCATGGGTTACACTATGAGGACAGACAATTATCGCTACACAGAGTGGATCAACTTCAAAGGCAGGCCTATCTATACACCGATGTGGGACCAGGTACAGGCAGCTGAACTCTATGATCATATGAAAGACCCAGAAGAGAACTGGAACCGAGCCGATGACCCATCCTACAAAGACATCAGGGCCGAGCTGTCCAGGAAATTGAAGATTGGCTGGAGAGGAGCCCTACCTATGAGTCGTGTCCTGAAACGTCAGCCTCACCTGTAACAACAATCCTTTTCTATAAACGAGTCAGTGTTTTTAGCGTGGTCTTAGTTTGAACTAAAGCTTTGTATTTTGAAGGATGTTATGTACTTGACACTGAAAATTACTATATTTTTCTTTTCTCTTTAATCCAATAAATTCACAAGTATATTAAACAGAAGTATACAGTGTCGATGCTTTAATTTCGTGAAATTATAAGTGCGAACCTTGACTTTGGAGCCTATAGAGATGAAAAACACGAAATACACGTGTGAAAAGTAAATTCATTGGGTCTCTCAGTGCATGTTTGCTTCAACTGAACAGGCACATTGAATATGAGCTGCAAAAACAAATTAAACTGTTCATTTTAATCTTTGTTTTGTATGCCATGCCTTTTATATCAAGCCCGAGGCCGGGAAACGCCAGGTGTGAAGTCACTCTCCGGGGAGATTAAACAATACGATGACGTCATCTTCTGAACAGATTTGTTACTGCAAGTTACACAAGTAGGGATATATTTGGTGTCAGAAATCGCTTGCGTGCCACCCAAAGACCCCATAATGGACAAAATTTAACGCCTCTTCATCGTCGCACATAAGGTTCAATCAAAGGCAATAGAATTCGGTTTTCCTGAGCCACGAAACCCGATTCACATTGAGGTTTCGGCAGAGTCCGAGTGCACTGCAGGTGATGTGAACGTCACGTCTGCGTCCGTGAAGTACACAGATTTGGTTGCCATAGCGTAATGGTACAGGGTTAATTTGGCGCACAGTTGATGTTCTCCCCTTGGTGTTGTACGAGGGAATTTAAATGCTGCCAAGTACAGTATTCAGATTTTGCAACCTATCCTGTTTCCATTTATGCATGGCCCTGGAATGACATTCCAGCAAGACCACGCTAGATGGCATATGACAATTCTTTCACAGAAATGCCGGTATTCAAGTTCTGGATTGGCCGTCGTGTAGCTCCGACCTCAACCCTAAACACATCTGGGACGAGCTGGGTCGACGTGTTTGTAAGCAAGTCAATCCACCACAGACGTCAACGTCAACTTGTTGAGCAATGGCGACGTCTTCCTAGGGGTGTGTTTACTAAGATCCATTAGGGGGCGTTTTGTGTCTGTAAGACACGCGAGAGGAGGTCATAACTCATATTGAAAACGAATTGTTCTTCACGCTTGAACTTCATTTTTGAGGATACCTTGAGATCAAGAGCATTATCATTGTTAAGGAGTTTTGGCGAGACTTGCTTTTTTATTTCCTTTGATGTCAAGATGTTCTGTGCACAGCATAAGACTAAAATTATTGTCTTAAACCTAATATTAAAAACTTAGTCCCAGAAATCCCGAGTGTAAAGTTTTAAGTTTGGCTCAGTATGCTTGGATAAGTAGAATTGCAATATAAAAACTTTTACCTGAAGAAATCGACTTCGCCGATGTAGTAGCCAGCTTATCTGTTTAAGTGCACATTCAGAGATATGTCATGTTACGTCAGCAGCTGTTCTAGTTATCATCATCAAATTCTTATAGAGTTTCCAAATGTTTCTTTACCTACAGAACACATGAAACCTATTAACAATGATACCAACGCCTAGTGGAAGTACACAAGGTTTGAAGATTGTACTGATTATGAAAGGTAGTAATGATACTAATGAAAAAAAAGATTTGGAATGGGTCTCAAGGCTCTGCTTGGATTTTCCTGTTTTTTTTTTCAACCATGTGACACACATAACAGGATTTACAAAGTTCAGCCTCATCATGTCACACTGTTGGTCCCGATGTGGACACAGGGTAGATAGAACGAGTTCTCAGCAGCCCATTATTGTTCACAAAGTTGATTAAACGGCAAGCAGTGAAGAACAGGAAGACTATCACTCCATGGAGATCTCTTTGAGGAGTAAGGCGCTTTGGGAGATGACAGACAACAACAATTGTTTGATGTCATTGACTTTCTGACAGGTAAGGAGCTCGCATTATAAATATTTGATAGCTCTCCGTCACGATTGTTAACACGTTATCACTGAACAGTCTATCTCAGTTTGATTCGCAAGAAGGTGTCACATGGTTGTAAACAATAGGGTTCATTTTAAACTTTATAACAATTGACGCTTACACAAATTTGTATTATAGGCTTGGCAAGTTTTATTATCATTTTCAAAGAAAATAAAACTCCCTTTGGAATGTTCATTGGTAGATTAAAGCGCAAGAATGTGATAAGTATTTAAAATCTTTGGTCATTTTGATAAGGTCATTGACTTGAGGTTGGACCTGAGTCTCACGCTATTCCCAACAGATTACAGGAATGCACAAGGATCATGCTAGACGGAAGTATTTGCTTTCACTGAAGACCTATCCACGTGGTATTCAGAAAGTGAGGCCAAAGGTAGTTAGAGCAAATGAAAACCTAACAGTTGATGACGTTAGCTCAATATTTTTAGAACGTCTTTGTAGTACCTAAAGATTGTATTTAGAATATTAGTTGTATTGGTACAACCTATTCCATGTATCACTATTCTAAATAGTTCTATGGATTTATCAAATTAACGCCATTGTCGAATCCTTTTTCAAAATTATATTCTGGATTATTCTAGAAGTTAAGGGAATGTGAATCTGTTGACTTCAAACAAATTAAAAAGAAATATAACAAAAGCCACAAGAAAACCTTTAAATTTCCAGTTCCTATTATTTTTATTTTTATTTTTTGGGGTTAAGAAAACACAATTTTAAATGTTTGAATTGCAAGAAACATGCAACACAACATTTTGGTATTTCAGAATGTTTACATCATGATGAAATATGCAGCCATCTGCTCAGATCATGTCCACCTTTTGTTCAACTCTGCGTGGGTTCATACCCTTATAATCAAGGCAGTATTTTGTCAGTAACATTACTTCGCATACCATTTGAAAATGTTAACGGATCCCTTTTTGTGGATGATATTAACATTTCTTGTCATGGCCAAAATATGAATACAATAGAAACTGCAGTCTTTCGATAACAGATTTAAATTTTCAAAATCTGAAACAATTCGTATTCATTTGTTTGCAGACAATTTACATCACATAATTACTGTATATGTTATCTCAGTATTTGACCTTTTGGTCCCACAATTAAAGTTTAAAATATATGCCTGAAGGACCTTGGTTTATTGAAAAGTTTCTCTAACTCAGAGTGGAGAGGGATCGAAATCCCTTCTTCAACTACAAAGAACACTAATTTGATCTAAAGTAATTTATGGTTCTTCCTGTAAAACAATATTGAACTGTATTATCATCTAGATCCGTTTGGTGCCTTCAGATCTTTTCCCATTAACATTCAATATAACCATGTAGACTGTCCTGCACGTGAGAGTCACTTGGAATTATCACCTATTGCACCACGTATAGCCGACAATTTCTGGCCCACATATTCACCTTTCCATTCAGGCCAATTTCATTCACCGTACTTTTTATACCTTCCATGGTTTTACATGTACTATTCTTGCTACCTTTAAATGTTTGACATATCTGTCTAGTAATGGCCAGTTGGCGGAGGGATGTTGGGGTACAATGCAGAGGTACTGTAAATCTCCATGGTCCTTTGTGTGTCGCCTTTGTTAAACTTGACTGCTGCTGTTCTGTGTCTCATTTTTATACGGGTTGTTTCATGAAGAGTTAGATTAAAATGTGCACATGCTAGATTTAAAACAATGCCCGTTATACACTATAGTACTGTCGGAAATAGAAAATAAAACTGTTTTAAGGCTGTTACTCTGCATCCCGAAAATTGACACAATTGCAAACAGCATATGTCGAAATAACCCACTGCCGCCTAACCGGGCGTTCAGTGGGATGCGTAATAAGATATCCCGAAAAGCATTTTTACTCGTAAAATCGGGCAAAACTTAGAAAAAATACGAATAGCTGCAGAAAACAATAGATCAGACTATAGATGGCAATTAGGTCGCTCAGGCAGGTATGACGACGGACCGTCAACTCACCTGGCATGAAATGCACGTGCTGCCTGCAGGCACAAGGGGTCATCTCAAAGATAGTTTGTTCTTTTTCATTTGTGTTGACTATGTCTCATCTACTGATTAACATCTTACGTGTCTTTCTTTCATAAAGTTTATGTTGAGATATGTAAGGGTATGATATCCGAAAACCATAGAAACGCATCGTGCTATATATAGGTGGCATGACCACCCGAAGATCGACAGGACTGGATATTATTTTTTAAATTGTTATGACGTGCCGTGTACCTCCCCAGTATAATTGCCCTAATCTTATCTTAGCTGATATCTCTATCCCCAAGCCCGACCCCAGGTTTTGCTTTTGAGGCGACCCCTCTTATCTGTTTCTTTTATAGTGACAGTGAGACTGCATGGTAGCTACATCCTTGATAGTTTCGGCTTAAAAGTTATTATTTTTACGTCAGCTATCGTTTATAATGAATCTACGTCTAATTTCAAATTGGGCATTTAAAAGTGTCCTTTGTAATACAATATCGTCGCACACTAATTTGCATAAAGCCATGGTCTGTTCCAAATAAGTCTTTTGGACTTAACGCATTGCTCATTTCTGCACTACTTCCCCCGCCCCCACCCCCACCCCAAAGTCCTTTTTCTCCGTTTCCTATCTCTCTACCACTGAGACTGTAGTTAGGCCGAACTTAGTTTAACAGATATTTCACACTTTCAAATATCAACTACATAAATTGTAGAGATAATTGAGGAAATACAGTTTTTTCTATTTCCAACAGTACTATAGTTCAGTTTCTGTCCTTTGTCGACAAGATTTTACGATATAAATGTATCATTGATGTATTACCTGTTTGGGTCATGATATATATAGCTGCACATTTTTCCGCACTAAGTCATCTCAGCAGTAATCCCCATTTGACATTATTACATTTATAACACTGTATTAGTTTTGCTTCTGATGCCATTGGGTATGACATATAGCAGCAACAGTAAAAGGTTCAGTGTTTCAAAACAAAGAACAGTCAATAATTGCATGGAACTCATTAATTCACCGGCACTCAAAGTCTTGCTAACAAACAACAAATTTCTCATCTTGTACAAAATTAGCTGGAATCCACGGGAGGATAAAAACATACCCTGGTCCAAAACGACAGATGTGCCACTTCACATTCATGTCTGACATTCCCTAGAGATAAACAATCAGGGCGACATTCCATTCTCCATGTCGCTGATAAATCTACACACACTCACTCCCATTAAAAGTCAACAGCAGCTGACACAATTTGTTGGTCACATACCAAAACATATGGCGACAATCCAAATCAACATTGCTGGTAGTTTGTAGTGGTGCAAACTGTCGCCAGAAATCAGAGAATTGCATTAACTAACCAGCTACTGTCTCAAATCATTCCTGTCAACGTGAACATCAGTTCATCAATGTAATATACCCACGTAAGCGAAACAGGAAGAAACACTACAGCATGACATTGTTCAAGTTTCTCTCGACATTTCTTATCTATCCACAAGTATAAATGGCTAAGAACCACATTGGCATCACTGGTCAAGGACACGTTGATAAAGACATGTTCCATATAGATATGCTCAATTGTTTAAATATTTCACCAGTGTGATTGAATTTGTCAATCGTGCACTGCATCATGAGGGTGAAGACAGCCGTGTTACAGCTGATACTGATAGCATTAGTGGGTGCAAAGAAAAATGTTTTGTTTCTGGTGTCAGATGATATGAGACCAAACCTCAATGCCTATCTGGGTCCAGACATGCCGTCTCCTGTCCATCCCAAGATGCATACACCTACTCTCGATGCCTTAGCCAAGCAGATCCCTTGTTCTGAAGAGAGCCTACGTGTCTCAAGCTTTATGCAGCCCCAGTAGAACTGCCCTTCTTACCAGCAGGCGGCCTGACACTAGTCACATATGGGACATTGGACCTTACTTCCGACAAGTTGGCGGCAATTTTACTACACTGCCAGAATACTTCAAGCGTAATGGCTACCGAACTATTGGAATGGGGAAGATCTTTCATCCTGGCAGTTCCTCAGGAGGAGATGATCCCATATCGTGGACGGATCCATATTTTCACGCAGATGACAAATATGGAGGGAATGACAACCTTCTATGTGAGGCAGTATCAGAGGAAAGAGAGAAGGCCCAACCACTTCAGGATCAGATTATTGCAGATAATGCAATTAAAACACTTCAGGAAGTCGCACCTCGAGCAAAGTCAGGTGAGCAACCTTTCTTTGTGGCAGTAGGATTCCGTAAACCCTCATATACCATGGAACTATCCTGCTCGTTTCAATACTTTCTATCCCTTGGAGAATCTTCGCCCACCACCAAACTATTATGCTCCAGTTGGAATGCCCCATTTCGCCTGGCATAATTTTACTAACTTTGGCAACTTTAGAGATATTGAAGCATTTCACTTAAAGGATATTGGCTATATAAACTTCACATTTCCACCAACACTGACCCTTCAACTGAGACAGGCCTACTACAGCTGCATCAGCTATATTGACTACGAGCTGGGGAGAGTTATTCAAGAGCTTGACAACTTAGGACTTTCTAACAATACCATCATATCCTTCTGGGGTGATCATGGGTGGCAGTTGGGAGAACATTCTGAATGGGAGAAGCACAACAACTTTGAAGACGCCACCCATGCTCCCATGATGATACACGTTTCTGGAGTCACTGACAAAGGTGTGGTGACAGAGCACCTGACGGAATTTGTCGATTTGTACCCGACTCTAGTTGAAGCTGCAGAACTTCCTAAACTTGAAACGTGTCCACCGAACTCTCAAAACATCAGTCTGTGCACAGAAGGTACTAGTATGGTCCCACTCATGACAAATCCAACAATGCCAAACTGGAAAACTGCTGCTTTCTCCCAGTACCCTCGAGGGGGAGATGGTCTCCATGGTGATGTCACCATGGGTTACACCATTAGAACAGACATGTATCGCTACACAGAGTGGATCAACTTCAAAGGCAGGCCCATCTATACACCGATGTGGGATGAGATAAAAAGGAGTTGAACTTTATGATCACATGAAAGACCCAGAAGAGAACTGGAACCGAGCCGATGACCCATCCTACAAAGACATCAGGGCCGAGTTGTCCAGGAAACTGAAGATTGGCTGGAGGGGAGCTGTGCCTGACAAACGCGTCTGAAACTGCTTGTATCTTTGTTTTCCTGTGATGTTTGTGATAAAGATGGTCATTATCACTGATTTTCGTAACGTATTATTCGATCGAAAACGTCTTTGCCCTTGCTCATCATGTGTTAACTTATCTGTCGTCTTTTAAGACTCGATAATTAGATAGTTGCAATCATATGTATGTGTTGCATCATAAACCTAACAAATAAAGAAACACTTGATATTGACTGTTTCAAATTTAATATCTCCACATCTTAAGGTAGTACCTTTACGCATTACCATATTCTATGCATATACATTCTGGGTAAAAGTGGGTGTCCTTTTGGTAATGTATCATTCGATCGCAAACATGGTTCGCCTTGCTCATAATATTAGTAACTCATCTCTCTTCTTAAGAATCAATAATGTTTTGTCGTCCTCACATTGCTCTGTGGCATTTTTAAACTAATAAAAATTGATGTTGATTGTTTCCAATCTCCAAAGCTAAAGGCAGTACCCTACAAACGATATACCATACTCTATGCATTTACAAGGTAAATCAGATTGGCTAGTAGTAACAGTCATTAAAATAAGTGCATACTCTAATGTTGTTATGATTGATGAAGAGGTATATGTACCAACTCCACTCCGATGTTTCAAATGTCAAGTTGTCGAAATAATTATTGTACTGAGATGCCTGTCGTACCATTGCATCCATACATTCGCTGACTTCAACGGCATATCAAACATCACTATCAGACCATCATACTCAGATCTCTCAATCCCCATCAAATACATCTCCATCAGCTTCCCAGACAGAGCGTGCAATATCAATACCTTAAATAAATACGTCATCTAAACCAGAATCTGTGACAGAATCAACACAAGGTAAATCTATAATATCAAAACAAATGGGGGGAGCAAAAGAGCAATCGAATAGAAAGACCATAGTCTTATAGCATTATTTGAATAAATGTATAAAAAATTAAATGCTGAAGCAGGGCGTACAGTTAATCAAAATACGCGCCGGTCTTAGCAAAATTATGTTTACAAAATTGATTCACGGACGCCGATGTCCACGGTATGGAATATGATCCAGACAATTAAAGGTAAGGGAACCAAATCAAGCAAAACACATCACGTCAAAACCGGGATCAATTGTCAACAGATAAATCTGACATCGCAAATAAACAGGCTGAAACACTTGCAAACCATTCTTCCTCGTCAAACTATGTTCCTAAATCTCAAAAATACCAAACACAGCAGAAAAAGAAACAAATTACCTTTCATTGTGATAATAGGGAAGATTATAACGACAACGTTTTATCCATAATTTTATACTTCTCTTGAACAAGCTCATGATACTGCGATAGCATACAGTATCTACTCCTGAAACACTTACATCAATCCTGTCTGGAGACACTGCTGAGTATCTTTATGGCATTTGGGCATCTCGTAAATTTCCTTCATCCTGGCGTTATGCCATAGTTGTACCCATACCCAAACCTGGACGTGATCATACCGATCCCGCTACTTATAGGCCCATTTCCTTGACAAGCTGCGTTTTCAAAACCATGGAACGTATAGTCAATAACAGATTAACTTGGTACCTAGAATGCGCTAATGTAATCACAAATACTCAATGTGGTTTTCGTAAACACTGCGGTAACATTGACCATTTAGTTCCACTGGAGTCATTTGTTAAAATGGCATTATAAACAAACAGCATGCAGTGTCCATGTTTTTCAATTTACAAAGCTTATGATACGACATAGAAGCACGGTATCTTAAAAGATTTACATGCGTTTAGTTTCCGTTTATATCTCAGATTTTAACCGACAGGCAATTTCATGTCAATGTCTGACCATTATAATCAGGATCAGGGTGTGCCCAAGGCAGTATTTTTCTCTATCACATTATTTAGTATACAAATTAATGGTTATCAAAAGTTATCTTAAAGGATTCCATAGATGGATCACTGCTTTCGAATGATTTTAATATTCCTTTCGTGGCAAACCATAAATACTAGTGAAAGGCTGCTGTATAATTATGTTTACATAAAATCGAGAAATGTTGTTCAGGAAATGGATTTAAATTTTCAAATTCAAGAACTACAAAATGTAATTGCATCCATTTTTGTCGAAAATGTAAATAGCAGCGACACAACCATTTCCACATTCGTTAGAAATCTCTGCTAAAAGCAGAGTCGACTGCACAAGTGTGACCATATAATTAGCATATATTTGTTTCAGCAGCATTACAACAGTGTGATGTTGTTTTAAAGCAAATCGAGTCTGGACCAGACAATCAAACCACACAAAGACCCAGAATTGTTTTTGTTACATTACGTTATTAACGTTATAATGGAAGCTATGTTCCTGGGTATTATTTTCAATCACCATTTTTCATTTCGTCCTCTTATAATATATCTGAAAAATAATTCTGATTACACCGTCCAGTGAGCAACTAGTCAGATGGATACTAAGCGCAATATAAATGAATTATTAATTATTTAAAAAATAAATATTTAAAAGCAAATCGAGTCTGGGCCAGACAATCAAACCGTACAAAGACCCAGAATTGTTTTTTTGTTAGATTACGCTATTAACATTGTAATGGAAGTTCGTGGGTATTATTTTCGATCTCCATTTAACTTTTCGTCCTCTTGTAAAATATTTGAAAAATAAATACCTGAAGGCACTTGATATATTTAATGTTGTTTCTAACTCAAAGTGGGGAAGGGATAAGAAGAAACTCCCCCAACTATATAGAGTGTTGATCCGTTATAAACTTGATTACGGCTCCATGATTCATGGTGTAAAGGCGATTTTAAAATACTAGATTCTATTCACCACCAAGGCTCTGGCTCTGGCTTTGCCTTGGAGCCTTCGGAACTTCACCGAATCAGAGTTTATATTTGGAGGCTGATGTACTGCCCCTCAACTATGCCGCCTTTAAATTATCTTCACAGCATACTTCTAAATTACGCCTCTATTAAATCAAATTCTGCATATAAATGTGTTTTCACGCTCTGTATAACGAACTTCATAAAACAAAGCATCACTTATCCCACTTGGAATACAATCCGCTATTTCTGCAGCTAACATACATTTATTTTCCAAGAATGCCGGTACAGCTGCTATTGCCGGTACAGTTGCTAGTGGCGGTACAGCTGCTAGTGCCGGTACAGTTGCTAGTGCCGGTACAGTTGCTAGTGGCGGTACAGTTGCTATTGCCGGTACAGTTGCTAGTGGCGGTACAGTTGCTATTCCCGGTACAGTTGCTAGTGTCGGTACAGCTGCTAGTGCCGGTACAGTTGCTGAAGTGCCGGTACAGTTGTTAGTGCCGGTACAGTTGCTAGTGCCGGTACTGCTAGTGTAGCGGTACAGTTGCTATTGCCGGTACAGCTGCTTAGTGGCGGTACAGCTGTTATTGCCTGGTACAGCTGCTAGTGGCGGTACAGTTGCTATTGCCTGGTACAGCTGCTAGTGCCGGTACAGTTGCTAGTTTGCTAGTGCCGGTACAGTTGCTGAGTGCCGGTACAGTTGTTAGTGTCGGTACAGTTGCTATTGCCGGTACAGCTGCTAGTGGCGGTACAGTTGCTATTTGTTTTGTGGCGGTACAGCTGCTAGTGTGCGGTACAGTTGCTATTCCTGGTACAGTTGCTAGTGCCGGTACAGCTGCTAGTGCCCGTTATAGTTGCTAGTGCCACTGTCATTGGATCCAGAACGCTGTCTTCCAGATTACCTATCGACGGCTCATTAATGCCATATTATCAGCTCGAGCATATATCAATAACCAGTCTTAAGATACACAATTCAGGTTCTTTTCGTGCCTTTAGGCTATTAAAACATGTCTTATTAGCATCTACTTTAATTGTAATTCTTGAATTATATAATGATCTTGCTACTGGCACCATCGTCTTTTGTTGTTTACCCAGTCATGCTGGAATCTCTGGTAACACAAGGCCTGACTTTGCTGCTAGGGCAGCACTCAACAAATCTGTGACGCCGTTTCGTTTCTGCTGCCGTACAGTGATTATAAACCTATAATTAGATCTTACATTCGCGATCTAATGCAAAGGAAGTGGGACACCCAAGTAGGTATAAATAGTAATAACCAACCATCGGTTACACCTACTAGGGCAGTCAGTCCAGTTTTGAAGAGATAATCATACGACGATGTCGTATATACTAGTTATACACATGAATACTTATTCAAAGGTGTAGGTCCTTGTGACGAACGAATCACAGTCAAGCATGTCCTGCTTGAATGTATTGACTTTTCCATCACAGGGGATAAATATTTCAATGTCAAAACAGTGAAGGATCTTTTAAATTGTAAATATAATTGTGTTACTGGATTTTTAAATTAAATAGAATTGTTAAACAAATTTTGAAAAAATAGATAAATATGTTTTATTGGTAGTCTAAATGAGCAGCTGAGATTGAGATTGGCTGTAGCGTTAAGTAAATTAAGCTTACAGAATGTCTTAGTATCTTTGTGATTTTGAACTGTGACTATAGTTAACTACAGCTGAAGGGATGGTGTAAATCCAGCTAGGGTTCATGCAGGTAGCACAACTACTATAAGTCCCCATGGTCCCTTGTGTATGGTGATATACCTTCAGTTGCTAGCGATCTATACCCCGTTTTTATATTGTATAGTCCTGAATTAAAGTATAATTTTTAAATTTGCTAGTTTTACATCTCTGTCTCTATCTGTGACACCCAAGTTGTTTTATTGCCCTTTGTAGACAGGTTTTGTGGAATAACTTTATTTATCATTAACGTATATCTTTTTTAGTCACGGTGTGGCTGAAATATTGCCGACGTGACTCTAAATTTTAACTCACTCACTCACTATGAACTAGTTTTCTACGAATGTCAACACATACACAACACATCATATTGGTTGCAAGAACAGACAAAAGCATGAGGATATGTGAACAGGTTCTGAGGGTTATTTGGCGTCATCATATTCAGATTGTGGGGCATGTTGCTCACGACTTCACTCACTAGATTGGGTGCTACTGACTATATACTGTTGCTTTGTCGTTGCTGACTGCAACACTGGGCCTCCTTTCACAAAGCACTAAGGTGATCGTAAGTCACCAAGGTAACCTTGGTGCAATGCTATTTCAAATAGAAACAATAAAATTGAAAAATTCAATCTTAAATGGAATTCGCTCATCCCAATATTCAGCAACTAATTGTTATTACATCTCTACAGCAATGTATCTTCACCTTTTCTGTGCTTGTTGCTACCATATACCCTTGTTATTGACTTTGTAACCATGGGAACAAATAAAAAAACAAAAAAAAAAAAACAACCTTGGTGCAATGTTAAAGAATGGGAGTTAAGGTTAACCTGAGTAAAGGTTGCTTCGTGAAAGGAGTCCCCTGAACGGCATCTTATTACTCACGTCACGGCATGGACTTATTCAGAGAAATCAGCACATGCATTAACAAATGATACATCGGATCTCACAAAACATGATCAACGAAGACAAATTACAAAATTACAAATTAATTTGCGTCTTGTGAGATCGAAATCTACCTTGCTACATTAACAAAGGACAGAGTGAGTGAGGGAATGAATGGGTCGGAAGAGGGAGGGGTTCAAAGCAACACCATCAATCTGGACGTACTGTGTGTAAAAGTAGAACCTGTCATAACAGCAACAGTTTAAGTAAATGTTAATTGTAAGCTTGAACATTCACATAAAACTAATGAGGTCATAACAGCAGCTGTTTAAGTAAATGTAAGTTGTAAGTAGGATATTCACACAAACTAATGACATCATAAGCAGCGGCTGTTTAAGAAAGACAAATGTAAATTGTAAAGTAGAACATTCAGACAAGGAATTCATTGCTTGTTAACAGTAGAAGTTTGTGAAAATGTAGATTGTAAAGTAGAACATTCGGAAAAGCCTGATGATGTCATAATAGCAACACTTTAATTGGGTGTACATCGTAATACGATCATTCAGTCCGCTATTGTGATGCTATATCTACAACAAGTGATGTTACATTGAAGGATGCATCATCAGAACGCATTGTTCCTTCAATTAAGGGGAACGTTAGGGCAATGCTTTAGTATGACCAGAAATTATTGAGAATTTTAGGAATATGTTTAATTGGATTTCTAGTATAAACAACCTTGACCAGCTATCAAGTGCTTGGTTTCATTCAAGAGAGACAACTCCGTTAATCCTTTTTCATTAGTTTGTGAAGAGTTACCCCTTTGTTTACGACTAGCAGAGACGACATTTTCAGTGATCCTCAGTATGGATGATTTTAGAGAAGAGGAAGTTGATTTTAGAGTATTATAACAAGGACATCAGATCAGCTACAGTGATTTCAAGCTAGGACACGCATCCCTTTGTCCACTGTTTATCGTGTTTTGAAAAATATTGCAAATGGATATGGCATTGAGCACCAGGAGGCGCAGGTAGAAGGAGGCTTGGTATTCTTGTTTCTAAAAACAAACGAAGGAGTTTAGAAAACCTAAGGCTGGATATGATTGATAGAGGAACTGTGGCTGTCTGTAAGGAGACAATTAGAACTGAGCTGCATGCAATGGGTTGGCAGAAAAGTCGAAGAATTCCATCGCCGATCATGAAACCTGAACAAAAGGAGCGAAGGTTGAACTGGTGCATTGACATTTTAACTGGGACAATGTGATTTTCTCAGATGAAAGTTCTGTGTGGCTGTTTCCTAATACACTGAAATTCTGGACCAGACAAACTGAAAACCTTTGTATCAGCACCCAAAGTACAGTCCGAAATTTGACGTGTGGGGTGGCATATCTGTGTTAGGGCAACGCCTCTCTGTGTAATTTGAAGGGAATATGAACAGTGAGCGGTACACAGATGATATTCTTGAGGGACATTTACTTCCATCTGCTCACGTGTTCTATGGAAATTTTGGGATTTTCCAGCAGGACAACTACCCAAAACATCGTTCAAAGCATTCACAGGCCTGGTGTCGGACCCAAAATATGACATTTTAGATTGGCCAAGCTTATAGCCCCTGACCTAATTCCAACAGAAAATGTTTGGGGACTGATGAAGGAAAGCGTCAATCAGAAATATCTGACAAATGTTGCTGAAATGAAAGAAGAGGTGGTCCAATATTGGGACAGCATGGACCACGACACTTCTAACTTCTTTTGATCAGTAGTATGCCCCACCGCACTGAAGCCTGCATTGCTGCTCGTGGTGACTTGACAAAAATACTAACTGTTCACCTGTCTTTGAATCTGGAGTTATGAGTACTGCTCAATATTGACATTAATACGTGAGTAATGAGTGAAAATTTAAAAAAATTTACAATCTTTAAATTCTCAATAATTTCTGGTTGTACTCGTATAAAGAGTATACCTTAGACGTCAAAACACTGAAGGATATCCAATGGACCTGTCGCACACATTTGTTTTACAATACGAATGTATAAAGAGTATAATTTCAGACGTCAAACACTGAAGGATATCCAATGTACGTGTCACGCATTGTTTGACAATACGAATGCATAAAGAGTATACCTCAGACGTCAAACACTGAAGGATATCCAATGTACCTGTTACACGCATTGTTTGACAATACGAATGTATAAAGAGTATACCTCAACGTCAAACACTGAAGGATATCCAATGTACCTGTCACACGCATTGTTTTGACAATACGAATGCACCCATACCATGACATCATTCGTTCATCAAGTTTACCACTGAAGCTTCTGAAAATATTAGATTCAACAGTTACTGGTGTCATCAGACACGTCATAGGACAACAGATATGAGACTAAGAAGTCTGAAATGAACCGTTAATATCTAGCCAATCTATGTCCAAGTAAATTCAACAGTTTTTGGAATGTGCACACGACAAAGGGATGATCAAAATAAATTAGTACCGAGGGATGGAATTACATGACGAGAAACGAATAATATTAGAAAAATACGGTAACAGTGACATCTATGAACAGCGTTCACGTCACGCGAAAATGTGGCTTGTCACACGAGGGGTTCAGAGCCACAGTCACAGTCGAGAGAGAGTGTCATTCTTGTGTATTTGTCCGTCCATGTGTTCAGGCCTAACAATTCTGCCCAATAGAGGCCAATCGTTCCTGGAATGGTAAGATGGCGACGTTGATGCAAGGGGAGGATAACTCGGACACGTTGAGTCAATGACAAGAACATTAAGCCAGGGATGCTGCATGTTCCACGCCAGTTTAAAGGACATCAATTTGTAAGAATGATACAGAGACTTGTTAAATGCTTCTGCTGATGGCTCTCGGCATCCTTTCAGATCCCCTTTCCTGGACATACGCCCAGTGCAGCCATGCACCGGATACACTTTCTTCCTGAATCAGAATGCATCTTTGAACTGTTCCGTGACAGCAGCAAACCCGTTCCCCGTCTAACTTTACCTGGTACCATCGAGGGAAGATTGTTGGCAGAGGTCGAGATCTACACTATACCCACAGTGTACAAGTCTAGTTCCGGGCTGTACAGATGTGAAGCTGACAATGGGATATTACCACATGGAAATGTTAGTGATACAGTCGAGGTTCACGAGTGAGTACAGAATATCGTGCTGTATTCTTTGGGACTGCCTGTCTCACGAAACATCCTTTTCTATGGATATTGCAAACATTCGAGGTAAAATGTAAAAAATAACAAATACAAATAGTGTATACAGTCAAGGTATTACAATGTAAATACTAGGTAACCAATGATGTGTACCTTCAAGGTGAATTGTCGATACTAAGTATCAATGGTGTTTTACGTTCAAGGTGCAATGTTAATGGATGTGCATTGCTGATTCTAAGTACCAATGTTGTATGCAGTCCAAGTGTTGATACTGTCGTGAATGCTCAAGGCGGGTTGGTACAGTGCAGGAATACAACGGAGCATCGTTGTATACAATGTACGAGCGGTGTTACTATAACGTCATTGTTGTATTTCGTTCAAGATGCAGTGAATACTAGGCATGATTGTCTTTTCGTGAGCCAGTGAGTGAGTGAGTTGAGTTTTACTCCGCACTCAGCAATATTCCAGCTATATGGTGGCGGTTTGTAAATAATCGAGTCTGACCAGACAATCCAGTGATCAACAGCATGAGCATCGATCTGTGCAATGGGAAGCGATGGCATGTGTCAGTCCAAGCTAGTGAGCCTGACCACCCGATCCCGTTAGTCGCCTCTCAAGACAAGCATGGCTTACTGAAGGTTCATTCTAACCCGGACCTTCACGAATTGTCTTTACGTGGTATATCAGAAAGTGAAGTGGAGGTTTGGTTGTTGTTTGTACTCAGACAAAATGTATTGATCAAGGATATGTCTGACGCCTTCATCGACATGAAAGAGTAATGTGGTTCAGTGAAACTAACATCGTAGCTCCGAGTATGGTGGACGGTTCATGGACTACATTGTTTTGGGGACATCGGTAATTGCTTGTGAAGAAAGATGTATGTCGCTGTTTCAGGCGTTTTGTGTGTGGGGTAGTCTCGTTGCTAAAGCGTTCGCTCGTCACGCCGAAAAGACCCAGGTTCTATTCCCTTAAATAGGGGCAATGTGTGAGGACCATTGATAATTTCATTATGTATTATATACGATAATTATATATAGCTCACATATCCATGTATCTAGTACATACTCAAAGCACTGTTTTTCCCCTCGATCACTGGATGTCAACCTCAACAGCACATCGTATTATCAATCTCAACTCCCCGGGGATCATGCAACACTTACAGCCACTATACCCACCAACTTATTGCGGCTTTCTCATCCTTACGACATTTCCTGTGTCCACGGCTGCGGTATTGCTGGAATATTTTAAAAGCAGTGCAATGCCATACTCACTCGCTTTTGTTTCCTTCCATCAAAGAAACAATGGCAGACCCATATGTATAGGAACAGGTTGCATGTCCTCTGCACGACCCGTTTAGCGTGGATACGGCACGTCCAACCCATTACGCGATAGCAGTCTTCAGTTCTTATGTGATTTTGTTCTTAGGCCCGCCCGTAGTTCACACTGACGAGACTCAGAGCGTCGTAAATGTATCGGGAGATTTGATCATTCACTGTAAGGCAGACGCCTACCCGGAAGTGACGTCAGTTGTTTGGACAAAGAGAGGTGTAAATGCAAGGATCTCTGAAAATGGGACTCTTCATCTGAAGAACATACAGAAGGATGACGCAGGAGTATATGTCTGTACAGCAACCAACGAGGTCACATCCTGCTCGGGAGCACGACTGAGCAAAATGTCATCTACAACTTTTAACACTTGAAGTCCAGTGTAAGTAAGGATTTCAGTCTACTGATATCGACACAATGCCCACGTTAATCCTGTCTTGCGTTATTTACTCGCATAAATACGAAGGTTGACTGATGCGTTCTGAACCTCACAAGAATTATGTAACAGGATATCTTTTGTTGTGAGTATTACACACGGACTTGAACCAACTGAGAACATTGTTTACCTTCCACTAGTTGGTGAAATATGCAATGTCTTTGACCAACTCAAAACGCAGAAACTTGAAGAACGTGCCATGATTACGCTCTTGCCAGAACATACCCATGCTCGTGTGAGGGCAGGTAGGAAATGATGCATCTCCAATGTAAAGAGTTGCATGGTTGAATCATAAAGAAAGAGCGGCATTTCAAGACCGCATCATGAAAAATAATTCACAGAATCCCCATGTTGTAAAAATAATCCACAGAATCCCCATGTTGTAAAAAAATAATTCGCAGAATCCCCATGTTGTAAACATAATCCACAGAATCCCCATGTTGTAAACATAATCCACAGAATCCCCATGTTGTAAAAATAAACCGCAGAATCCCCATGTTGTAAAAACGCAATCCACAGAATCCCCAAGTTGTAAACATAATCCACAGAATCCCCATGTTGTAAAAATAATCCACAGAATTCCCATGTTGTAAACATAATCCACAGAATCCCAATGTTGTAATGTTCTAGATGCTCCAGACATCCTGTCTTTTAATGTCACGTCTGGTGGGAAGCGTGAAGGAACACGACAACGTGACACTGCAGTGTCACATCAACAGTAACCCTGCTTCAGACATAGAGATCAGGAACAGCACCTCCAGCATAGGAAGTGGGACAAGTGCCAAGATACTGAAAGCGAGCATAGACGATGTTGGATGTCTTCACACAGGACCATACACGTGCTCTGCAAGGAATAAGCTGGGACAAGCTGAGGAACAAAGCATATCATTGCAAGTGAAATGCAAGTATAAAACTGTACAGTCTGATTCCTGAATAATGTCAAGTTCCGAATCAAGTATAAGGTAATCCTAAAAACCTATAGACAAATGAAATCAACAAACAACAAACCAATGTGGTTCAATGAACAATTACATTATATAATGAATTTGGTTTAGAAGTCAAGACAAATGGCAACAAAGAAATTACATCGGTAGTACAGAATAGAGTGGTATTACGACACTCAGTGGCAGTAGAGTTCCAATGGAAATCTAGAATCAGAGGTAGTGGTAATAGCAATAACGTCAGTGATAATAAAACCTCATTGTCACACAACCGCTGGTTTGATGTAACGTGACACGACGGAAGCAAGTGCTTTCCACCTTATATATTCTGAACACCTCCCCGAATTTACTTGACTTCAAAACCATCCAAATCTGGCAACTTCCGCCCCAGAGTTCACATTTCGGACAACCAATACTAAACATCCAATGTTGTTAACATTAACTGAACCGGGGATCGAAATGAGACCAAACTTCCAGTGTTAGACTACCCCCCAGCTTCCTGTAGATAGAGAGTTATTTGACTGAAAACAAGGATGCCCCGTTATTCATTTCTGTCACAATTCAGGTGCTCCAAGATCATACGGATCCACAACGGACGGCTATGAATTCAGATCTGGCCTAAGTGGAAACGTGACACTGAACCTGACTGTCCTAGCTTTCCCTGAGCCAACCTTCACGTGGCGTAGAACCCGGAATGGAAGGCCTCTCGATAACAGTGCGGTCATCACAGATGGTGTTCGTGTGACAGGCAGTGTAACCATCTTTGATGTCAAAGATGAGGACTTTCGGAAATACACAGTGGAAGTGACAAACACGGAAGGAAACATTTCGAAGACCGTTATGCTGATTTCGGCTTGTGAGTTTGTTTTGTTAGTTTGTTTTGTACGAAATGTCATCATAACACCCTCAAGCACCTATACAAATCCCCTTACAGCTTAAACACCCTATATACATCCCCCTTCCGCTTAATCACTCTATCCACATGCCCCTTCAGCTTTAGCACCCTATCCACATCCCCCTTCAGCTTAAGCACCATATCCACATCCCCTTCAGCTTTAGCACTCTATCCACATCCCCCTTCAGCTTAAGCACCCTATAGACACACTCCGTCATCCCTAGCATCCCATCCATACAGACGCCACCTTCATCTCAGGCACCTCTTACACACCTCCTTCAGCTTTACCATCCCATACACATCCCATTCAGCTTTAGCACCCTATCCACATCCACATTCAGCATAAGCACCCTATCCACATCCCCCTTCAGCTTAAGCACCATATCCACATCCCCCTTAACCTTTAACACCCTATCCACATCCCCCTTCAGCTGAAGCACCCTATCCACACACCCCATTCAGCTTTAGCACCCTATCCACATCCCATTTCAGCTTAAGCACCCTATCCACATCCCCTTCAGCTTAAGCACGATATCTACATCCCCCTCCAGCTTAAGCACCCTATCCACATCCACCTTCAGCTTAGGCACCCTAGCCACATCCCCCTTCAACTGAAGCACCCTATCCACATACCTCTTCAGCTTAAGCACCCTATCCACATTACCCTTCAGCTTAAACACCCTATTCACATCCCCCTTCAGCTCAAGCACGATATCTACTTCCCCCTCCAGCTTAGGCACCCTATCCACATCCCCTCCTATAGCTATTAAGCATCCTATCATATGCACATATCTACCCCTTCAGCTTAAGCACCCTATCCGCATCCCTCCTTTCAGCTTAAGCACTCTATCCACACTCTCTTCGGCTCACTTATCCACATCCCCTCTCTTTTAACTCCGATATCCATCTTAGCTGAAGCACCTTATCCACACACTCCCTTCAGCTTTTAGCACCCTATCCGCATCCCCCTTCAGCTTTAAGCACTCTATCCACACACTTCCTTCGGCTTTAGCACCACCCTATCCACATCCCCCTTTAACCTTTAACTATCCCTATAACCTTTTAACATCCCCTTCAGCTGAAGCACCTTATCCACACACCCATTCAGCTTTAGCACCCTATCCACATCCCCCCTTAGGGCACCCTATCCACAACCCATTTCAGCTGAAGCACCCTATCCACATCCCCTTCAGCTTAAGCACCCTATCCACATCCTCCATAACACCCTATCCACATCCCCTTCAACTGAACGATATCTATCCACATACCCCTTCAGCTTAAGCACCCTATCCTTTAACCTTTTTAACACCCTATCTACATCCCCTTTCCTGGAAGCATCCTATCCATACACTCCCATTCAGCTCTATCCACATCCCCCTTTCAGCTTAAGCATCCAAGGCTTCAGCACGATATATCTATCCCTCCCCTTCCACATCCCCCAGCTGAAGCACCCTATCCACATCCCCTGAAGCACCCTATCCACATCCCTCTTCAGCTGAAGCACCCTTTTCCACACACCCCCTTCGGCTTTTAGCACGATATCCACATCCTCCAGCTTAAGCACCCTATCCACATCCCCTTCAGCTTAAGCACTCTATTCACTCTATCCATCCCTTTTCGGCTTTAGCACCCTATCCATCCCCCTTAACCTTTAACACCCTATCCACATCCCCCTTCAGCTGAAGCACCCTATCCACATCCCCCTTCAGCTTAAGCACCCTATCCACATCCCCCTTCAACTGAAGCATCCTATCCACATCCCTCTTCAGCTTAAGCACCCTATCCACATTCCCCTTCAGCTTAAACACCCTATCCACATCCCCCTTCAGCTCAAGCACGATATCTACTTCCCCCTCCAGCTTAAGCACCCTATCCACACACCCCTTCAGCTTTAGCACCATATCCACATCCCCCTTCAACTGAAGCACCCTATTCACATCCCTCTTCAGCTGAAGCACCCTATCCACATCCCCCTTCAGCTTAAGCACCCTATCCACACACCACTTCAGCTTTAGCACCCTATCCACATCCAACTTCAGCTTATGCACCCTATCCACATCCACCTTCAGCTTAAGCACTCTATCCACATCCCCATTCAGCTTTAGCACCACTCTATTCATCCCTCTCCAGCTTAAGCACCCTATCCACATCCATCTTTCAGCCCTAGCACCATATCCACATCCAACTTCAACCCTAGCACCCTATCCACATCCAACTTAAGCCCTAGCACCCTATCCACATCCACCTTCAGCTTTTGTCACCTATCCACATCCCCTTCAACTGAAGCACGATATCCACATCCCTCTTCAGCTTAAGCACTTCTATACACACACCCGTCAGCCCTAGCTCCCTATCCATACAGACACACTGACTTCATCTCAGGCACCTATTACACACCTCCCTCAGCTTTAGCACCCCATACACATCCCATTCAGCTTAAGCACCCTATCCACATCCCCATTGAACTTAACACCCTATCCACATCCCCCTTCAGCTTTAGCACCATATCCACATCCCCTTCAGCTGAAGCACTCACTCACTCTAGCACCCTACACAAATGCCCCATTAGCTCTAACACCCTATTCCCTTTCAGTTTTAGCACCCTATACATATCTCCTGTAAGCTTCAGCACTCTACACCAGGGTATGACACTCCTGCAAAAATTGTACCAGACATCAGTGCTGATACCCCTGAACCAGCCCCATAGTAAACTAGCACGAAACCACCGGAAACCAACCCAACCTATCAATATTGTCTGATAGTATTTTGTAATAAAACAGAACAGTAAAAAGGTTTGGTGATCTCTATTTATATGCAAGACGTCCACAAGCCCGTGACATTTTGGACCATAGACACAGGGATCATCACAAACACGCATCACAAATACACTGACCACTCTCAATGAAGGTAAAGTCTATAGATATTTTAATCATATATGAGGCTGTCCTTTGGTCAGGAAACATCTGATCTTTCCACTTCCGACTCAAAGTGTGGAGCGTTGCATCAAACACTGCCTCTACTGTCATCCCAATTTCTGGCTCGCTATACACATGCCTCTGTCGCATGAGCATACATATCATCGTGCATGATTTCACATAAAACAAAACAAAATATGACCAATACTCCAACGTCTCGTTTAGAAAAGTTTGATTGAAAAAGATTGAAAGTTCACGATGGACACCCCACATACAGACTAACATAAATATCGATTGTAGGCAGTTGTGAAATATGATGTTCTTCTACAAAGACAGGGCTGAATGTTTGTGAGGGTATTCAACAACCTACAGTTATATATGTTGTCGTGTTTAGTTGAGTCAGTAAATGTTGAGAAACTCCAGATGACGTCCCTATTTGTATCCCATGGCGTAGTTATGCCAGAAACACCGATGGATCTGCAAGCTTCATCCATCAGCGTTCGGTCATTTACCCCGACATGGGAGAAAGGTTTCAACGGTGGCGCCAAACAAAGTTTCAAACATACAATACAGACAACCTGGCGGACAGTGGACTACCCACCCAACACGGCCAACCGAAGACGACACCCTCCAGCTGGTCATTGATGGCCTTTCGAACCCGGAACAATCTACGAAATTCGGATTAATGCACAGAATAAATCATGGCGCTAGTAACTACACCAACGCCATCGTCGTGGGAGACAGAATCAGGTGAGAACATGAAAATGCAGAGTGGTATAGCCTGTCTCATAGAGACAGCTGCCGCCGGGAAGACATTTCCATGTTTACAATCTGTCTCACTTAGAGTTGTTCCGTTAATTAGTATTATCATCATTAGTAGTATTATCAGTAGGGTGGGTATTGCCAAGAATTTTCATATTGCGATATATTGCGATGCAGCAATGCATTGCGATATGTACTGGCGCACATTGCTTTGGTTGTTAATGCTTGATTTTGCCATAAAGGCATAGCCACCCAACAAAATCACTAGCGCTCCGGATTGCTGCTAATAAAGCCAATTACCGTTGCAGATTTTTTACATACCGCGTTACTCTGACCAATAGTACCATCTACCGTGAACTTTTTCAACCCCAAAATTAACGCCTTTGCACTGATGCGCTTTTGCCTAGTATTTGGCACCACAATAAATTGTTGTTCTGATTGCTCGTGGGTCACTATTTTACAACACACGCATGGCTTCCAGAGTAAAAAAAACGGAACTATCCGAAGATTTTCGAGTGTTACCAAGTTTCTCTAAATGCATCATCCGTCAAAATACCGGTTTTCGATTAACGTATCGCAATACGTAAATCGTTTTCACAAGTCTGAACTGGTATATACCGGTAAACCGGTTATATTACGCAGCCCCTAACTATCAGTCGTAGTAGTAGCAGCAGCAGCAGCAGTATTAGCAGTTCCAGGAGAAGCAGTAACAGCGGAGAAGAAGTAGCAGTTGCAGAAGCAACAGCAGCAGTAGTAATAATCGTAATATTCCTAGTAGTAGCAGCAGCAGGGCCAAGTGGTAGTAGTAGTAGTAGTAGTAGTAGTAGTAGTAGTAGTAGTAGTAGCACCTTATTAGTCCTAAGGACTCAAAAACAACCGGGTGCATGCGTTAAACATGTAATATGTAATGTAGAAATATGATAGAAACACAGGAAAATTCAATTGTCTCCTTTCATTTATTTTTCTCTCAGTTTTCATCACCACAGCTATTCAAAGCTGGTGATGAAAAACTAGAAATATCAAAGGAACACTCTGTACCTTTTCCCGTGTTCCTTTATTTGTTTCTCTACGTACATCTTTATCAGCTCATTTGGGAGCTCTTACATTGACCCCGATGTTTATGCGTGCAATTAGTCAACTACGGTCTGATAGATAGCAGCTACAGCTACTCTGGCAGTGCAACAGCCCTACCCTTGTCGGCATCACCATCACCATCATCCTGTTAAGAGGAATAGGAAGAGAGCCCTGCCAGGTAAATAGGAGCACTATACTGATACGTATACTGAGGCCGGATTCTATGCATTCTATGACATGGTTTACCTGTGTGTGTGGGGAACCTGTGATGGCGACCCGTAGTTACACCCTGGATCCTCCTCTCCCCAAAAAAAAAAAAAAGGGACGTAAAAACCATGTTTAGTTTATCTGGAACCAGAGCTCCAATGATGAGCCTCCTAGCAATACGCACCCAAACGAAGTTTGAT